ATTGGTCGCTCCACGGCCACAATAGGTCGTTCCACCACTTCAGCGGACCGTTCCGCCTCCACAGCCGGCCTTTCTATCATGGTGGTATGCTTCTCCTTCATCGCCGCATCTCGTGCAACCAACGCCCGACCTACCGCCTCCGCGATGATGCGATCCAATTCTTCTCTGGTCATCTGCATCCTTGGTTCTCCACCTTCTGGTACCGCCTCTGGCACCGATGTCCGTATTACTATCTCCTGGCCCGCTCCGGGGGTCGCTGATCCCTTCTCCTGATCCGACGGGGGAACAAGGGGTACCCCTTGTATCGTAACAGGGGATGTAGTCATCGAGCCCTCTCCGGCAACCCATCCTTTTGGCGGCCATCCACCATAGGGTGTCCTTGCTACCCATGCCTCTTCCAAACTACCATCCGAATTCCTCCTTGATTGGTTATCCGCGATTGTGTTCGTCATCCTCAATCGGTAAGAGAAAATAGTTTAGTCCCACAGACGGCGCCAATTGATAACACTTCCACACCTCAACTCGGTTCCCTTCCGTTCCTCGCCCGGTTCAAGCTCTCGAAGACCTGCAATGACGCCGGGAGGTGCTCCCGGCGGTAACTCTCCGACGCTCAAGTCAGTAAGGAATAGAAGAGTATAAGAGAATCCTACATAATTATAAAATAGGGTTAGGGTTTGTAGAGTGTCCTCCTTACCATAGTCCTCGTCTGTATATTTATACCTGAAGGTGTAGCTTATTCCTCACGCTTCAACCCTCCCAGTCCAATCTTCTAGTTTTCCTATATGGGCCGACCTCATTGCACTGCAACCAATATGGGCCTAGTGCACTCCATTCAACCCATCCGTGCTAATAAACAGGCTGGACAATTCATACCCAACGTCCTAAGTTATTGGACCGCCTTATCATGGAGCCAGGCCTATGCATAAAAACCGGCCCGAATATATTGCCATATCATCCCCGACATTGGGCAGTTACGCGAACAGCTTATGCAACACTTCCACGACTCTAAGATTGGAGGCCACTCGG